GAGAAAGAAAGCACTTAACAGGGCATTTTTTTGCAGAGTATGTCTTTGAAGAGCACCACAGCTCTTAAAATTTCTGAGTTTGTGCAAAAGAGGAAAGTGGAAATGCAACAGAAAGTGTTCCGAACCAATAGCATTGAGAACTTACAGCAGGGCCCGAAAGGGCACACACTCCAGCAGGTGTTCCAGGGAGAGGTGCTCACTTCCCATTGCTTTGTGTTGTGCCAACTACTAGAAACACTCACACTAGTAGAAATGATGCAGTGCTACTGGAAATCCACACCCTACATATGGTGAATGTCACCTGCTGGATCAGATAGGATGCCAGTTCACATGAGAGCGACCTTGCCCTTTATAGTTCACCAGAATGCAAAAGCTTTATTTACAACTGGTTCTTAACATTTTGAAAGGTTATATATTCACAAGTTAATCGGATGAAAGTTATGGCCTGTATCTTCAGGAAAAAAAGTCCGGAGATATAGACATGCTGCACTTAATTTCAGGGAATTCATAGATCCCAGATGCTGACCCATGGATGCTAGGTGCAGAATTCATGGTCCAGGATTAGATACAGGCAGGCGCTCTCCTTTCTGGTATTAGTCAACCCAGAACAGAGCTGCTTCCTCTTAGAGGAAGGCTGGGGTGGATCACTCATATATTCATTCAATACATTTATTTAGCTTCTGCTAGATTTTCATCTTTTCGAGGGTTACTTTGTGTTCTCTTGGTTTGAATTCTTGCAGAAGTAGACCATGAGACGAGGATTCATGTACAAGTAGCTTATTGGGGAGGTGATCGCAGGAAACACCTTTAGGGGAGTAAGACAGAGAAGGGAAGGAGGTCAGCAAAGAGTGCATCATTAACTGAGTTACCAGCATGGGCTCCTAGAGTCTAATCCTTCTGGAAATCCCAGGAAGTCAGTGTCCAAAGCAGACCTCCAAGTCATTCTGCCCAAGGGGTGGGGGACCTGGTTATACTCAAACACCCACCAGTTATTATTGGGTGATTGCTGGGTGGGATGAAGAGGCATTGATTCCCTGGAGCTTCTGACCTTCCCCAGACCAGGGCGGAGCAGGCTCTACTGGCTGAAGAGAGCCCTCAGCAAAGAGTTGGAGGTGTCAGCAGTTAGAAGTCTAGGGACCTTGTAAATGAAAAACCTATGTCAGTGGCAGCATGGGAAGGCACAAGAAACACAGCGACTTATTTCTAGAGTGTTCTGAGAGGTTCTAGAGGCTTCCAGTTTTGAGACATCGAGTGGTAACGCATGACAGGGAATTCTGCCCATATACAGCTTAGTGATCATAATTATGATCTAGTGGCCAGATAGGGGAAGGGTGTAACACCCTTTCCGTTAGTTACACAACATCTAAACTAAAACGTGATCCAAATGAAGGTTTAAAGTTCTTTATGGATACATTTCTGTTTACATGGCCACTGTTATTCTTTCTCCAACAACTTTGAGAGTTTTATGGCGTGGACATTGGGGCTTTGAAAATTATAATCATGTGTGTCTTTGAGCAGACCACTTTGACCTTTGCATCTTCTCAGACTTCTAAGGATCGCTTTAGTTTTCCTTTGTTTCTTCAGAAAGGCACATATCTAGTAAGCTCAGGGCCACGAGGTCCAGACTTCAGCACAGGAACCATCTCTCCTAGATTCTGCTTCCTCAGTGGCCTCATTTGAGCTGGCAGGCCTGGACTCACCAGCCTGCATGCCCTTTTCCAGTTATACTCCCTTTCTTTGATCTTAAACGTCACTACTTATTCAGGGTAACAAATTATCTGAGACGGAGAGGAAAGACAAAGCTTTATCATTTCTACTTCCTAACATAGGAGGATGGGTTGGTTAAAAAAGTATTAAAGACCGGTAAGACTTTTGGACTAACTGCAAGATTTAATTTCTTCCTTTACTTTTCCTTGCAAACGATCCCCTGCTTCCTGTTTTTGCTCTTGCTCCTTTGTACCCTCCTGAGATTAACCTCTGTGCCAGGAGTTAAGCTCCTTTGTGGTCTGCTTTTACTCCAGGACTCAGATGTTCTGATCTGATGAATGTGTGTGTGTCAGCATTAGCGCTGATGTGACGGAGAATACAAGTTTCAGTGACATCTCCATCACTGCTGTTAGGGTGCTTCTCTTGTTGGGCCCACATAGGTGTCCTGGTTGTGACAGTCTCCTCTCTCTGCAGGCTCAGCAGCGGCTTACTCAATGTGCTAGAAGTGCTGAAACACGACGTGAAAATAGGGCTGGGCACAGGTTAGTAGTGCACCATTTGGGGCCATGGCTAACTGGTTGCTTAAGTGCATAACGTTCTAATGGGACTCATTTTCAGGTTGCATTTCCATGTTAAAAAATTAGTTTTATTTTTCTGGTAACAATATCTTGAGCTAATAAAATAGTGAGATTGGAAGCAGTAAGAAGATATATGCAAAGGAAGACGTTTGGATATCACTAAGCTTCTGAAAGCTATTCTCTGCATTTACTGTCAGGGCTCTCAAGCAAGCATGTCAAACTCGCGGCCTGTGGCCCACATGCCTCATTTATTTGGCCCATGTTAGCCTTTGAGTTTGACATGCTTGCTCTAAAGGATAGGTCCTTCTCTAGTGTTTTAGAGATTCATTTAAAGAAGTCCTTGATTTTTTTTTCTCTTTTTTTTTTGTCCTCTGGCAAGGCTTTAATAGTTTGGTTTTGTATGTTTTTAGTTTTCAATAAATGTGCCATCACAAATTCTGTCTCAAAAGAAAATTATTTGGCCTTGCCATAGCAAGCATAGACTCAATTTATGCCAGCATCGAGAACTCTGAGTTACAGAACTTGCTTTCCTTGTAAGCAGTGTTTAACAAAATGAGATTCCATTCCCACGGGCAGTCTGATGCTTGCTAGGCTGAAGGACATTCTCAATGGCTGATAAATTAAGGATGCCTCTTTTTAAATGATTTTTTCCCGAATTTGTGCAGTGCTACTAACTTTGAAAGCATGCATCAGACCCAAATGTCTAGGCGTATCAACTGTGAACCTTTTACTATTGTGTGTGAATGAACTAAATTTTTTAAAAATATATTTTTATTTATTTCAGAGAGGAAGAAAGAGGGAGAGATAGAAACATCAATGATGAGAGAGAATCATTGATTGGCTCCCTCCTGCTCACCTCCTACTGGCATTGAGCCTGCAACAGGGCCTGTGCCCTTGATTGGAATTGAACAGGGACCCTTCAGATCACAGGTCAACGCTCTATCTGCTGAGCCAAACCAGCTAGGACATAAATTTCTTTTTAAGTGGGTGTAGGGCACAAGGACTTATTTTCCATTCTTGATGCACTTGTCCTCCTAATATTCAAGAGCATGTTTGCTTATTGACAATGATAGTCTGGAATAACTCAAGTCTTAGTTAACTTTATACCAAGCAATTCCTGGTAAGACACACAATAACACAAAGAGATTTATTAATATTTTTAGATAGGTATGCTAATGTAGAAGTTTTCCTTAATTTTATATGAATTAAAAAGAATTAATTTTTTTTTTTAAAAATTCTAATTTAAGCTTTGAATCACTGAGATTGTGTAATACCTGGATATATTCACAGGTGCTAAGGCAGGAAACTGGCTGTTTTACCTTAACAGAAAAGCTTTAATAGATAAGGAAAAATGTCCAAGAGTTTCTGTTACATAGTATAGTCAATTAATTAAAAATTTAGTGGACATGCAAAATAAGGTAGGTATTTGCTTTCAAATTTCCTGGGAGTTTGGTCTCTATGAGTTAAATTCATCACCTAACTTCTAGTTCTTGGCTTTTGATTGTGTAGCAATAGCTTAAAACAATTAGGTAAAGCTCTCACTGTCACTTATTAGATGTAAGACATTGAACAAATTAATGTTCTAAGGCAGGGGTCCTCAAACTTTTTAAACAGGGGCCAGTTCACTGTCCCTCAGACCGTTGGAGGGCCGGACTATAGTTTAAAAAAAAAACTAGTCGGCTGCTAAGCAACAGGCAGCGGCGGCAAAAACACCCGGCGGGCTGGATAAATGTTTTCGGCGGGCCGCAGTTTGAGGACCCCTGTTAAGGCTTCAATTTCTAATTTCTGTAACAATAACAACAATCATAACGATATCTATCTTACAAGCTTATTTTGAGGCTTAAATGAAAAAAATCTGACACATACTAGTCAATAAAGATTGGCTTACAAGGGAGATAGCAATGTTGGTATATTGACCAAATGTTTGCTTAAATATGATGAATTTGCTTATTAAGTTGGAGAATGCATTTCACATCATCTCTGCTGTGGTAGCCACCCTATGCTCCACTATTTCCTAAACATGACCTTTGTGTATGAATTTGCACTTCATTTTTAGACTTTAGAAGATTATTTAAACTGATATCATTGACAGAGAGCAGTTTCAAAAGCAGGTCATTCACTGTATCTGTATCAAGTGTAGGTAGGTCCTGACTTGCTCCATATTAAGAGGAAACCCACAGGAAGCTTAGTGAACATATTGCAAAGCAAGAGAAAACAGTATCAAAAAGAATAAAAGGATGAGCATATTTCTGCAAATGATTTACTTCAGGATCCAGAAGAAAATTTCAAAACATTATCATCATCCTTGGAGTACAAGAAGACATGGCACTATGAATCCCTGGAAGAAAAGTTTGACTAAAATACCATGGTTTATGTAGTCCAGGGTTTCTTTTTTGATCTGCACAATATTGTTCCTTCGTTGGAACTTTATTAACATAACAACCAGAAGAGTATAGGATGATTAAGTCATCCTGTAAGGCAGCAACATAATAAGATAGCTCTCAAAATTTTCTCAATAAATTGTTTTCTAAATCCAATGATGGGTGTCTTATAAGAGAAAATGAGAGACACTTGAAGACACAGAGGGAAGACCCAGATGAAGTTGGAGCCAGGTATTGGAGTTACACTGCCACAAGCCAAGGACTGCCAGGAGCCGCCAGAAACTGAGGGAAGTGAGGGAAGATTCTTCTCAGGAGCCTTTATAGAGATCGTGGCCTGTGAACACTGATTTAAGACTTCTGCCCCAAAGCTGTGAGAGAATAAATTCCTGCTGTTCTGTGCCACCAAATTTGTGGTAACTTGTTGCAGAAACCCTAGGAAACTAATGCAGGTGCACATTTGATACTAATTACTGGTTTTTAATTCCTTTACATGTTAGTCTATGTCTAGTCTGTGTTTATAGATCTTTTCTTTGAAGTATATTAAAGACTCAATATCTGTCACTAAAACAAACAAAACACTTAACCTATTAATAGTTGGTTGTTACAAAATAGTGATGGGGCTGTAAAGTACGACATAGGGAATGAAGTCAATAATACTGTAATTGCTATGTGTGGTGCCAGGTGGGTACTTGAAATATCGGGGGGAGCACTTTATAATATATATTATTGTCTAACCACTATGCTGTCCACCTGAAACCCATGCAAAATAACATTGAATATAAACTGTAATTGAAAAATAAAATTTACAAATTCAACCTTATATACTTAATATTCCCTTTATCTCATAAGGTTACTGTTTTGGCTTTATTTTCTCTATCCTAGATGTGGCTGGTGGTTATTCACCTTCCATACTTGATGCAATCAGAAGAGCAGTGATGGTTTCCAATACCATTTCATTTACTAAGATAAATGAGAGAAGCCTCACCCTCAAAGAGGTATTCAGACTAGCGACTCTCGGAGGCAGCCAAGGTAATAACCATTTTTTTCCTCGGAGCCTTTATAGAGATCGTGGCCTGTGAACACTGATTTAAGACTTCTGCCCCAAAGCTGTGAGAGAATAAATTCCTGCTGTTCTGTGCCACCAAATTTGTGGTAACTTGTTGCAGAAACCCTAGGAAACTAATGCAGGTGCACATTTGATACTAATTACTGGTTTTTAATTCCTTTACATGTTAGTCTATGTCTAGTCTGTGTTTATAGATCTTATCTTTGAAGTATATTAAAGACTCAATATCTGTCACTAAAACAAACAAAACACTTAACCTATTAATAGTTGGTTGTTACAAAATAGTGATGGGGCTGTAAAGTACGACATAGGGAATGAAGTCAATAATACTGTAATTGCTATGTGTGGTGCCAGGTGGGTACTTGAAATATCGGGGGGAGCACTTTATAATATATATTATTGTCTAACCACTATGCTGTCCACCTGAAACCCATGCAAAATAACATTGAATATAAACTGTAATTGAAAAATAAAATTTACAAATTCAACCTTATATACTTAATATTCCCTTTATCTCATAAGGTTACTGTTTTGGCTTTATTTTCTCTATCCTAGATGTGGCTGGTGGTTATTCACCTTCCATACTTGATGCAATCAGAAGAGCAGTGATGGTTTCCAATACCATTTCATTTACTAAGATAAATGAGAGAAGCCTCACCCTCAAAGAGGTATTCAGACTAGCGACTCTCGGAGGCAGCCAAGGTAATAACCATTTTTTTCCTCTAACAATGTACACCATGCCAATCTGTGTTCTTGGATGTACTATGAAGGTACATGCATCCAATGTTCATGACGGTTACATCTCATATAGCATACCCCAAACTTAGCAAGTAAGTCCATGTTCAAGCATGTGGTGGAGGCATAATTCTTTCAGGATGCTCCCTTTCTTTGGCAGAAGAGATGATTAATACACAGTTACCATATTAATTGTTTTAATGGATTTATTTGCATTGGTCACATGCATACAAATTCTTTAAAATAATCAGTTTTTCCACTGAGTCAAGTAATACACTCTTGCCCCGAGTGAAGATGATGATAATAATACTAATAGTAAAAATATGCCTAGCTGGCGTGGCTCAGTGGTTGAGTGTTGACCTAAGAACTAGGAGCTCACAGTTCGATTCCCTGTCTGGGCACATGGGTTGTGGGCTCAATTCCCAGTATGGGGTTTGTGGGAGGCAGACAATCAATGATTCTCTCTCATCACTGATGTTTTTATCTCTTTCTCCCTCTTCTTTCCTCTCTGAAATCAATAAAAATATACTTAAAAAATAAAAATAATAGCCAAGAGTTCTTACTATGTGGTAGGTACTATGCAACATGCGTTATGTATGTTGTTATTTACCTCCAACCACTGTTATTAATTCTATTTAATCAACAAGGTACCTGGTGGAAGCTTACACAGCTCTCAAGCTATACTGTGTCATGATTTGAATCCAAAATCTGATGCCAGAGTGTAGGCTCTTACCCTTTCACTGTGATACCTTCCTGTGTAAATCCCAGCTGAGAGTATGCATTCTTTATGTAATTAAGTACAGTAATTACCCAAGTCTCTTTAAGTGGAGAGAGATGTTGAAATATAGTGGGTTGATATGCAAATATTGTTCACCAGCTTTTCCCAGTTCTCACATGTAACTATATTTATGGGGGAAAAATAGAAATTAGTAATTGTATTGCTTTCAGTCACTTTAGCATTGTGGTGTATTCTAGATGAATGATAGTGAACATAGCATGAAACCTTAGGTAGCTTATGTGAGATAACAATATACATATCAAGACAAATATAGATAGAGGCCTAGTGCATGAATTCGTGCACAGGTGGAGTCCTGAGGGGGATGGGGGGCCAGGATGCGATTGGCCCTCCAGGCAGGTGGTGGGATGCCCTTGCCAGCCTGGGATCCGGATCCATCCCACTGACATTTGCACTGGTTGTCGGGAGCCACCTGGTAGCCACTTTTATATTGTTTCTTCCTTGCGGAGCTTCTAGGGAGGGGAAGTGGCCGCAGTGCCCAAGGCCAACTTCCAGGAGGCCAGTGGCGCTGGTCTGTTGGTGCCTGGCCCATTCTCCGGAGATTGGACCTGCAGGACTACTGAAGGAGTGAGTGGCTGCCACTGGGCTGGTGGACCACTGGGATGGGTCGGTCAGCTGAGTGGTGCTCCGGCTGTGGGAATGCACTGACCACCAGGGAGCAGCTACTGCATTGAGTGTCTTCCCCCTGGTGGTCAGTGTGCATCATAGGTCGTTCAGTCCTGAGGTCGCTTAGGCTTTTATATATATATAGATGTGTAGATTTATATAAAGCTAATTTTACCATGTTTCTCTTTTATTAGTGTAGATAGATGTGTAGATTTATATATAGCTAATCTGGGTCTTAAAAATGGAGGAGGATGAAAACCAAAAATATCCTGTGAAGAGAAACTTCCTGGCTCTTCTTTGAATGCTCAGGGCTATAATGAATATCATCAAGAACCTTTCAAGACAACTAAGTAGAGGTCATGCTCCTTGCATTTCTAAGTCTTAGATTTATTAGTGTAGATAGATGTGTAGATTTATATATAGCTAATCTGGGTCTTAAAAATGGAGGAGGATGAAAACCAAAAATATCCTGTGAAGAGAAACTTCCTGGCTCTTCTTTGAATGCTCAGGGCTATGATGAATATCATCAAGAACCTTTCAAGACAACCAAGTAGAGGTCATGCTCCTTGCATTTCTAAGTCTTAGGATTTCATGTGAAGCTCCATGTTCTAAGTCACCATTCTTTTAACAAGTGTAGCGCTCCTCACCCCCACCCTCACTGTGTTTGTGCATCTGAGTTCAAGCAGTTGGCCAACCATCTTATTTTCATGGTGCAAATGAGTTGTATTTAAATTGTGCCTTCTTTTTTTCTTCTAGGCTCTCTGTGAGTTGCTTCATCAAGATTTTTTCTGTCTGATCAAGCCAGCCTAGGGTGCTTACCAACTCATTTCTGCCTTGCTGTATAGCTTCCAAATCCATTTTCTTGGCTGCAGGGCTTACTGTTATGGAATTTCTTCTCCTTAACTCATGTCTCTACAAGAGTCAGAGTGAAATGAGATTAATGGATTTCTATTTAAAGTGTGTCATCTTCCTGGCTTGCCACGACCTTTATATTCAAGATGTTGCATAAATCCCCTTCCCAGAGCCAACATTCACTCTAAAGGCAGCAAAACTGTATTTCCTGAAATGCATTTAAGGTGTTTACCAACCCAGCTGGGCCTTACTGCAATGATGTTAACTAGGTCCATTTACAAATTCACCAAAAGCAATTATGTCTTCTTTGGTTAGTTCATGCCTGAAATCTCCAGGTTCGAATAAATAGTTCAATTAGTTTATATATATTATCAAACTCTGACAAATGAACCTGGTTATCTGGTCTATTAAACACACAAGTTTATGTTGAATACAGTTATTAAAAACATATTTGTCATGTTTCTTTGTCAAGGGAAAATGGGTGAAGGAGGAGAGAATTTCCATTGATTTTTTTCTATAACATTCAGTCCTTCTACACACTATTAGTAGAAGTCACCTAACTGCTTTTAACATTTCTAATTATTTTTGCTCCCCTGTCTTCCTATAAGAATTTTTAGCTAAAAAAAATCTTTCTTTTCTGAGAATAAAAGAGGTGCCCTTTAAATAACCTTTTAAGAATAAGTAGGGTTTCTAAGTCAGTGATTAGCACATTGCCAATACATATTCATACATCCATCTATATATATAAAAGCCTAAGTGACCATCAACTGGTAGACTAAACAACCAGTTGTACTGGTCGCTATGATGAGCACTGACCACCAGGGGGCATATGCTCAACACAGGAGCTGCCCCTGATGGTCAGTGCGCTCCCACAGCCAACCTCCCACAGTCCCTTCCCCCAGCCAGCCAGCCCCAATTGGCCCCAATCGCAGGCCAGGCTGAGGGACCCCACACATGCACGAATTCATTCACTGGGCCTCTAGGAGAGATATAATCTAGTAGAAATATAATCTAGGTATTGTCTAACAGGGACATGCCATCCAATATTTTCACATTGGACCGTATCCTGACAGTGAAAGAATAGAAAAAACACATGTAAGAATTTAAATAAAAGTGCTGCACTCCAGTTGACCCTCCCTTTATGCTTGTTTCCATTTGGTACCTCAGTGTACACCTTTCTCAAATTACAGGCTTTCCTGAGCTCAAGATTCAATACCTTCATTGACCAGGAAAGTCAACTATTCCCATCTTGTGAAACTAAATCATGTCAGTGAAAGAGATGCTCTTTGTCATCTAATACACATGGAACATGAATGCTAGCCATGAGGTGGATCAAATTAATAGACACATCAACCTATGCCCTATTTTAGAAAACCATTCTTCTCTGGCAACCAGAAAATCTTTGAGGTTGCAAAGAAATTGGTTTGCTTTTATTTATTTTTAATATTGATTTTTTACAGAGAGGAAGGGAGAGGAATAGAGAGTTAGAAACATCGATGAGAGAGAAACATCAATCAGCTGCCTCCTGCACATCCCCCTATTGGGGTGTGCCGCAACCAAGGTACATGCCCTTGACTGGAATCGAACCTGGGACCCTTCAGTCTGCAGGCCGTCGCTCTATCCACTGAGCCAAACGGGTTAGGGCTGGTTTGCTTTTAAAGGATTGGGGCTTTTAAGTCATGAGCATCTGTTTACTTTCAGAAGTGAATTTTTTCTCTTCCAAGGATTTAACCTAAGGAACTTGTGATGGATATGTCTGCATTGGCCAATGTGCAAAGGGATAATTATTTTTTATTTATTTGAGGTTTATTTCACGGCCATGAAAATAGATCTTGTCAGCTATTTCAGACAACGAAAGGATCCAGAAGGGCAAGGAGAGGAGTGTTGTGGGGGAGACTAGGAGGCAAAAAGAAAAAAAGATATGTTGTCAGTTGCCATGTTTCTTGGAGGGATGAATGAAAGTCATAGACCAGCTGGACTGATAGAGCTGAAATAGAGAGACACTATCAGAATTATGATCATGGTGATGAAGGGAACTGTTTTTATTCTCAGATTTGCTTTCCCTGTGCTTACTCTGATTTCTGTAAGTCTAAGTCTTGTGACCTGTTGGAATGAGAGAGTTTTTACACTTCACTATTAAGATACTAATTCTTTTTTCTTTTTTTATGTACTTTTAAAAAAATTTAATTTTTACTTCTTTTTTTTAAAATATATTTTATTGATTTTTTACAGAGAGGAAGGGAGAGAGAGAGAGAGTCAGAAACATCGATGAGAGAGAAACATCGATCAGCTGCCTCCTGCACATCTCCCACTGGGGATGTGCCCGCAACCCAGGTACATGCCCTTGACCGGAATCGAACCTGGGACCTTTCAGTCCGCAAGCCGACGCTCTATCCACTGAGCCAAACCGGTTTCGGCAATTTTTACTTCTTGTTGTGTACTTTCTTAATACATTGGAAGTTTCATTTATGCAAGATTAATAATATGAATTAGGAAAACGTATGTGTGGTTTTTTTTTACTAATTCTTTTTCTAGTGACATGTTGGCTGACTTTGTCCTTGCAAACTGGGACATTGACATGGTCTGATGGCTCAAAATACTGTTTCTTAATTTATTCCACCCTGTAGCCCTGGGGCTTGACAAAGAAATTGGAAACTTTGAAGTGGGCAAGGAATTTGATGCCCTCTTGATCAACCCCAAAGCATCCGATTCTCCCATTGACCTGTTTTCTGGGGATTTTGTTGGTGACGTAAGTAAAAAAAAAGTTAATCAAAAGGCATCTATTTCCTGAAGTAATCACAGAAGCTTCCTTGTAGAAAACAAAATAGCAACAATCATTTTAATGGAATACAAGAGACTTTTAAGAGGGAAGCTAGATTTTTAAGTTAACATAATTTCATGACAATAATGTTAGCAATAATGGTACTAATAGAATATTTGTATTTTGAATATATTTGTATATTTTAATGGTTTGGGCTATAAGAAGCCATAATATAGCTAGCACTTACTGAATACACTTGCTGGGTGCTAGATGGTATAGCATTAAGCACTTGCTTACGTAATTTTGTTTAATGATCAAAGCAACCCTTATGAGAGGCAGATACTATTTATATTGCCATGTAACCTGTGGGGCAGTGAGGCTTAGGGAGGTTAAGTGATTTATCTAAGGATTCATGGCTAGTAATTAGTAATTAGTAGATAGAGTTGGGATTCAAGCCCAGGACTTCATAACTTCCAGAGTCTGGGTGATTGACCACAATGCTACATTGATTTTCTTAATTATAAGAAAATGAGTTTTATTACTTTGTTCCTTTTATTATAAAGTGTTTCCCTATATAGAAAATAAACTGGTTCTTCTTACTTTAATAACAATTAGTTATAAAATATTGAGTTTTTCTAAAAACATTAATTACCATTTATAAATTGATCCACTTATAAAAGAAAATATGTAAATATAACATAGTGGGGGTTTTTAGAAGACAGATGCTGGTTGTTATTTTTATATTATTTATTCTTTTGCTCCTTTATTAGAATGGATTTCTTGGAATAAGGCTCAGCCCTATTCATTCAATCATTTTTCTTATATACATTTCTTAAAATATTTGCATTATTTCATTAATTTATGTAGCACTTTTGTTCTAAAGTTTCCAAGGTTTTATATACCAAGAACTTTCAGGCAATAGATAAACATTTGTTAATAGTCACTATTTCTTTTTAAGCAAAAGACCACTTCTTTTTCATTAATAAAAGTAGATTTTACCATTGAGAAATGAATTTATATTTCTGGGTTTTGCCAACCCACTACTGACTGTGAATTTTTCTAAACGCACAAAAATAATTATTTCTTATTATTACCTTTATTTTCCATTTTAGGCTTTTATCCAGAAGTTTCTCTATCTAGGTAAGTAGAAATATGTCTCTATGCTAAATAAAATCTTTCTTTGTCTCTATCTTGGGTATGACTCTCTGCATTTATGATACCACATGTAAAACCCTATGTGTGATCATTTGCTTTGGTTTTTTAAAAACATTTCTCAGCATAGAGTCCATTTGTGGCACAATATTTAAAGACACAATGTGAAATTGGCATGCTCCTCTAGAACATACAGTCATAAATCCTAATCTGAGGAGTGGCAGGCCCAGGGGATGGCTAATCATGCCTCTTCCCCCTACACTCATTCTCTATCCCGAGCTGCCCTACCAGGTCGTATTCACGATAAGGATGTGGTGGGATCTTTTCACACATGCTTTTTCACATACTCACATTCTGTTGTATTCACTGAGGGAGGGAAATAAATAATGTACAAGATTCTACTCTGCCTCCCCCTCGGTTGAGTGTCCTCTGAGCCCTGAGTGAACTTGGGATGGGAGAGACACCTGTTGCATTCCTTGTGGAGCTCAGTTCTCAGGTCCTGAATCTCACCACGCTAAGTGTATTCTGGGGTGTAAAGCTAAGTACTTCCTTTACAGTTGGGGCCATAAAGGCAAACCAATCACTTCAACTGAAAGGACAGTGACAGGGGTCAATTCAGCTTTATGTGATTTCTGCCTTAGCAGCAGATTTCAGACTCCAGTTCTCAAATTAGATGCAGCATCTTCTATTGGTCATGTCCCCCTGTCTATATTTTAAACAATCCGAGAGAAACAAAGGCTGTCTTTTTTATGTTTTCTTTTAGAAGTGTGTTTTGCTTTTAAATCTCTCCCAGGGGCAATTAAAATACTTATTTCAGAGGGGAGGAGGATGGGAAGAGATTAACCAAGTAACTTATATACATACATGCATAGCCCATGGACACAGACAATAGTGTGGTGAAGGCCTAGGGTGGGGCAGATGCTGGGTGGAGGGAGCAAAGAGGCGGGGAATGGGGGATATCTTTAATATTCTCAACAACAAAAATATATATACAGGGTATCCCCAAAAATGTGTATATATTTTGAACAATTATATATTCCAATGGGTTAAGTCTGAAAAGAAAGAAACATCAATTGAGCTCTCAGCTGTGCAAGTGTTGTATACATTTTGGGGGGACACTTTGTATGTATCTTTAAAAATACTAATTGACACAAAACGGTGCCATGATTTTTTCTTTCAGGAGATGACCGAAATATTGAGGAGGTTTATGTGGGCGGAAAGCAGGTGGTTCCCTTTTCAAGCTCAGTCTAAGACCCTCGGCGTCTCCAAGTTCTCCTGGATAGCGTGGTTCTGCGCCCCCTTATGCCCAGGCAGAGTTAGAGCGTCAAAAAAAATAGTACCTTGTTCTTGGGATGACTGTCTCTTTGTGTGCTTACCTACAGTGCTCACTTGACAAATCGAAGGAAGTTGTGCTCATTCTCAACTCTCTGGTTGGGAGGATTCAAAATGTATCCCTTCTGAGCTGTTCAGATTTACTTTAAGCTTAAATATAAGAGAATGTTATGGCTAGTGGTGTTCTTATTATGAGATTTAAGTAAAATCTACCTAACATTTGGAAATGTGAAGAGGAAAGATATTCCTGTGAGGTTCGATATTTTGAACTAGTAAATGTGAAAATTGGATATGGAAAATGAACCAGTGAATATATTTTTGAGGGAGAAAAAGACTACAAACATTGGAAAATCATTTTCAGATTGCTCGACAATTATATACTGAGCTTCCTAATTTAAAAAGAGAACTCATTGAGATGTGAAACGTGTTTCTAGGTTGACTTTGTGTTCTGGAAATTTGCACTTCATGGGATTTGCATTTCAGAGACTTGTTATTGTTGTGCTTTGCCTTCTTTGGGGATGAATTGTCAGAAATTGAATGCCACGTGCTTTCTTCATATAGTTCTGTGCTTCAAAGTGTTTGACAGAAGTTGGGTAGTAAAGATTTAAAGTCTCTTAGGAATAGTATTCACACAACTCCGTGTCATAAATAGTTGTATTTTTGTGTCCTTTAAGTCACCTTAATGTGTAACTGGGTGATGCTGTTACTGCTTCAGTTTTATTAGAAGAGAAACAAATTCCACACTCCGCTGTTGGGTAGACTGAAGTCTTCATAAATTGGGGACAAGTGCTGGGCACTCGCGAGCTGTCAATACTGAAAGGAAGGGTTTCATTGCAATGACCTTGTCTCCCCAAGGACTATGCTATAGTTGCTGGCAATTTCATACTCAGATCAATCTCTTAGAACTTTTAAATGAAGGCAAATCCTGTTAAAAGAAATATTAAAACTCTTTAAACCTTGCATATTGCAAGCACTCTATTTTCCCAATTTTATCCTATTGTAGTTTTAATTCCTAAGAATTTTAGGACATTGGAATTTTAGTATAATGAAAAATATGTAGACATCCCACATAATGTTTATATTAAGAGGACTTAATCTGTACCAGACACCTAGGAAGATTAAGCAAAGCAAAGAGTATTTTTCTGCCTCCTAACTAACTAGTGTACTTTCCCATAACCTAGAATTAAAAACAAATTATGACTATGATAAATCCTTTACAAGTATTGATGTGAATGCTATTTAAATACTATACTTTTCTCCTTTAATTTCAAATAATATAAACTAACAATGAAAAGGAGTAGGTTTTCTTAATATTTCATAGCACTTATGAATACTTTATAATAGAGAACTTTATGCTACAGAGCTAACTCCATATATAGAGAACTAAGGACAAAATTCTCCCTCTTGCATATAATTTTATTCTCATATAATCATGCTTATTCAGCAGTAATTTGCCCAGTTATTGTTGTTGTTTTTCCTTTGTGGAAGCACTTTTAGAGTTGACTATGCTTGACTACAAATATTTAGTTTGATTTTTTTCAATGACAGATTTTTTTTTTAGGATATTAAATAGCTCAGTAAATCTAATTTCTAGTCTCAATAGCTGTATTTCCAGAATTCCTGTGCCATGTCAAAGATGGCCCACCAGACTTCTCCTCATTTCTCTGTAGTGCCAGCATGAGTTTTCTGCTCTATCTCTTAATCCGTGCCACAGGAACTCGATTCTCGGTGTCTGACCCACATGAGTGGGCTTAAGAATTTGGATGAGCTGTTCCAGATTCACGAACAGGCAGCAGTTGTCCCCAGCCTTTGCAAGATCCTATACTATTACCTTCCTCAAGGGTGTACATTTTGAGGTTGAACACCAGTTTTCATTTAGATTTAGGATTCATATGCAGTAAATATAAATAAGTGTAGTGTCAGAAGCAGGAAGAACGGCCATATACAAGCACTTTGTCAAATGTTAAATTTAGCCCTGATAGTATGTTAAGACCTGAATATCTTGTCTAATAAATATAGAATGTCTTGAAATGTTACACGTGCTTTGATCTTCCTACATCACTTAGAACTAATGTGCTTTATCCTCCAAGTGCCGCGTTCCTGAATGGTGCATATGCTTTTTGCAGTACTTCGGGCCTTAGCCATACATGGGCCCAGATGTTCTGCACTTTGAAATGTGGCCTTTGCCTAATGTGGGTTGACTTCCTGAATTGTGGGGAGACAGTATCCCCAGCCAATTCTATTTGTTGGTGTTTGAATATTTTGCTTTCTGACAGGAAAGAATTAACACTTCTAATCAGCCCCCTCACTTCACCCTACACTTTTTTGCCTCAGGTTTTGTGGTGTTTTTAATGGAATACACTTTAAGAGGCCAAAACATTTCCAGTAGGATTGACTGCCATACATTTAAAAGAATATATTTGCAATTAGAACACAAAAGCAGGCTAATCAGCTAAGATGAATTTAATTTTCAAAAGAGAGTGAGCCCTAACCGGTTTGGCTCAGTGGATAGAGCATCGGCCTGCGGACTCAAGGGTCCCAGGTTCGATTCCGGTCAAGGGCATGTACCTTGGTTGCGGGCACATCCCCAGTAGGGGGTGTGCAGGAGGCAGCTGATCGATGTTTCTCTCTCATCGGTGTTTCTAACTCTCTAATCCTCTCCCCTCCTCTCTGTAAAAAAAATCAATAAAATACATCAAAAGAGAGTGAAACGTGGAGGAGGGCACGAGAGGCTGTCCTAGTCTTCGTGAACTGAGGCCGAGGAGGCTCGGCTCTCATTTATTCTCCCAGCTTTTTCTCTGATTCAATTGTCAAAGGTTTGAGAATCTAGGAGGATATCTCGGAACAAGCTCCTATGGCAGCAGGAGGTCTTTCTAAATTGATACCATGAGCATCAAACCCCATTGACTCTCTGTTTTACTGCCATGAGAGTTCTGCACAGTTAAGAAAGGAAGGCGGTAGGGAAGCACTCCTGAGTGCTTTGCGGATGTTGAAGTGTGCCTGCAATATCCCTGTTGGCAGCTAGAGCTGAGACGTCACAGAGGAAACAATGGGTGTGAGGTCCAGGAACATATTTTGAATCTTCACTCCTTTCCCAATTCTTCCTGTTTTGCATCGTTTCATCTCAGAAGCAGACATATGGAAAGCCTGAAGGGCAAGCTGGAAGGCATGTTGGATCCGGTCTACCTTACACATGGAAGAGATGCAGCATCAGGTGCTTCTGTAGCCTATTGGACACCGTGTCATTGTTGTCCAAGTTTTAAAGCTGCTGATGATGCCAGAAACGTTCACATGTTTAATAAGAGTGTTCCGAGTCGTGAAAAGGTGGACTAATAAATGTGGCATGTCCAAAGTCTTGACATAAGTTTTAAATGGCGTGCATCATTTTGAAAATTTTTTTCCCTGAAGGCTTACAAGAGACATTTGCAGTTTCCAATTGACCTAGCCATTTTAGGGATGACTTTGAACCCTGACACACTTTAATGTCTCTACAGGAAAATCATGGAAAGAGGCGCACAAATGAATAGACACTCTTAGGAAACCCTGGCATCGGTCCTCATGCGTGTTTTCATGCCCAGGCCCTCCTCCCTTTTTCTCCCACAGCCCCGAGTGTGCGGCGGGGAAGCACTGAGGGGTTAGTTCCGGTCCAGATTTAGTGAAATCCAAACGCTGAACAGAGTAATGATGAAGCTAAATATATATAAATCCCAAGGTGGCTTTCACCGTCCTTGGGGATCAAGAGACTGAGTACCGATGTTATATGGCAGTAATTACCTGTCCATTTCCTTCTCAAAAGCCTGTCAGAAAGCGTTCTTTATTGAAAACCACTTCACATTGTTGTCAAACTCCTGATCGCTGCTCTGAAGAATAAATATCTATATGTATGTATTCATGGGGACGTTTTTCTCAAAATTTGTGTGGTTTCTTATTGTTTATGTGCAGGGTGAGCTCCTTTGTGCTTTAGAAAAAAATAAATGCGATTTTGTGTTTACATTATTTGCTTGTTATGAGTCCTATCAATCTGATAGAAGGGGGTTAATCTTACAATGTTTTTCTCCTTTTAACATGAATTTTAAAAACCAGAATAGAATATTTAGCCCTGGGCCACCATATGTCTTCCAACCTATGATAATCAGTATACATAGCTTTTAAAAATTAAGGTCTAATGTTCAGTCCTTTAGAATCATAATGCTACTGCTTTTGATTTCAGCATAGTTAATATTTTATATATGTTTTAAGCCTCAACCCAGAGCGAGAATGCTTTAACATCGAGAATTAGTTCACATGCCCTGGCCAGTGTTGCTCAGTGATTAGAGCATCGGTCAGTCTACCAAAGCATCCAGGGTTTGATTCCTGGTCAAGGGTGCGTAGCTGGGTTGCAAGTTTGATTCCTGGTCCTGGCTGGGACATGTGCAGGAGGCAACCATGTGTCTCTCTCACATCTCTTCTCTCTCTTTCTCTGTTTCTCTCCCTCCCTTCCACTCTATCTTCTATGTAAAAATCAATGTAGAAATATCGTTGGGTGAGGCTTAATAACAACAACAACAAAAAGAATTAGTTCACACATACATGTATATTTAAAACAAAAATCTCAAAAATAACAATTTTCCTATCTCTGATGGCCTGGGCTATTTTCTGCACTATTTTATTCTGTTCTGTCCTATTCTTTTATATTTTATCTGTTTAATTATTTTTATTCTGTTTAATTATTTTTGGTTTCTTGAACCTGCATGGAAGCAGTTTCCAGTGTCCTTGAGCTTATGCACTCAGTCTCCGTGCCTCCATCCTGTGATTTGGGCATGACATGCATGCCTGCCTTAGAGTCATGAGGGCCAAATAAGCAAATCCATAGCCAGAACTTAAGATAGCACCAGGACAAAGTGAGTGCTCACCATAGAGTAGTTATTTTTTAAATGAATATGAAGTATGGTAGCAATCATCTCAGATTGAAACTGTAGTTTAACTCTAACCCTGTTGTTTGGCTTAACAATAGAAAAGTTACTTTGATTTTCTGAATT